ATTTTAAACGGTAATGGTGATCATCACAGAAATTTCCAAAAATCGTTATGGAGTTATTAAAAAGTCAAGATATTCGTCACACAATTCAATGACAGTTTTTTTATAGTTCTGCTGTATGTGAAGTTGAAATTATGTGAAATTGAAATATTATGGAATGGGGTGAAATTCTGATTGGCTAATTTGAATTTCATGTATGTAAATTTGAATTTCACATATGTGAATTACGAATTCACATAATTTCATTTTCACGTACAACAGTTCTAAAAAGATCAGCTTTACACTAAAATCTTTATTGAAAAGCAATAAATATTTGAATGATTTTATCCAAATCTTTGATGGTTCATATAATTCGAACATTCGATTTAGCCAGTAAGCTCTAAAAACAATATATTTATTTATTTGTTATCATTAATGATGGGAATGACCTTATAACAATATTATTTTTTTTTAATAATTAAGTAAAATAACATGATTACACTTTAACTTACATTCATATTAATGTGTTGAAGATTTTGTCTTTCCAAATATGATTTCCTTTATAGTAATATACTGTGGGCAAGATATTCACGTTTCCAAATCTTCGGAAAAAATTTTTAGCACATATTCACAAATGAATTTATACATAGGACGTTGCCATATATTAACTGAGACCAATTTATTGTAGCAACTGAGAAATTGTACTTTAGGTAACTGGTTTTTCCAGCTCATCTTTAAAAATCCGGATATTCTTTTAAGAAAAATTGTTTTGATTTTTACCTATCAAAATTATTCTTTTAATTATTGTTTGTAAACCATCCAATTCATCTTGACATTCATTTTTTTTGATCAATGGATCAAAAAAATTTATAAAATGTTCCAACAAAACATTCAACTCACTTCTTCCATAACTCAAAATATTATCATTGTAAAATTACATTCTCTCGGATTAAGTATTTTAAAAGTTCAACATTTGGAAATCTATTTTTGAATTCTACTGCAAATATGATGAATATTGCGAGCATGCAACTGAGGTTGTCCAATAAAACATATAAATACTGCTAGTCCCCTAGTTTCCTAGTGAAATCTTTATCAATAGACCTCGACTAGATTTTCCCGTTAGCCTCGCTAACAAAATAAAACATATATACAACTATATTAATTGAGGCAATATTGTAAAATTAAAAGGGATTCCTAATAATTAAATCATTAATCATTAGAAAGGGTTACGACACAATTTACAATGGCTTTGCCTCTTTAACTATGCAATGATTCGTAAATAATTTAAAATGTTTTTATTTCAATATAAAGAGTTGTGATTTTCCAGTTAGTTATTTTAACTCAAGCAAATTATACTTCTTTACATTTCACAAAATTATAAAGGTAAAATACTTTGGTGATTAATTGTAAAGAGACTTGGACACCATCAGGAAAATAAATCTTACGTAAACCTACATAGGGTTCAGAATTGGCCAGCATTATGCCGATATTTTGGTAATTCTGTTAACATTTCCGCATAATGCTGGTCAGTTTTAAACCCTATGTAGGTTTACGTGAGATTTATTTTCCTGATGACTACTGTCTATAATAACAAAAACACCTCTTGACATTACTTAATCATAAGAACAAAAAATACCACGCAACAATTTACAAATAAAGAAATATTAATATTACAGTCAGACCTCTATATAATCACACTCTCGGACCACACAAAATACGCGCTTATAGAGAAGGTGTGAGCTTGCATAGAGGTACATTTATATAGTCACAAGTGTACTTGCATACAGGTATTTTTGTATAGTCACAAGTGTTCTTATATAGTGGCTTTATATATAGTCATGACAAGTGACAAGTTTTTTTACTGGCAAAATATTGACTTCTATAATATCAAAACCAGCATATTATAAATTACATATTTCAACTCTTTTAAATCACTGATAAGAGCATCAATGGTGATTTGTTTATGATTATTAAACTCATGAAGCACAAACTCTAAAATTTTATAATTCATTGTTCTCTTCTTGTTGCTCATAATAATCAATCCAAGTTATCAGAGCATCTTTTCCAGAATTATCAGTTATTTCAACATGTTGAGCCTCTTCATTACTATTATTTTTTTCATTTATATTAACTGGACCTTGAACTAATTTAATTATTTGTTTATCACTTAATGCTTCGTCAGTAGAGATGTTTGATATAATGATTTTTTACCAACTTTACCAATTAATGTTAATATTAAGTTCGTGCAAGACGTAAAAACTTTAACAAGTACAGTACATTTAAAATACAATATTAGAAATTTTTCTAGGACATAGCTAACCTGCGATAGTGATTATAAACAAAATGTGCTTACATAGAGGTTTTTTATTAATAAAAAAACAGGATAGTGTGCTTATATCAAGGGCTTTTTATAGAGTATTCTTATTATTATATAAGAACTTCGAATATCGAAATATTGAATAATTCCTGTGTATGGAGTTGTTAAGGTATTGGTGTGGACAATGGTTTTCTGCGTTTTGCAGAAAACTGCAAATCTCACCTTAAATACAGAATCTAAATTTAAACACCACATAATTGCGCAGAGTTACAAATAGCTGTGCAGAAATTGATCACCAGGCTTCTTTTCCAGTTCAACAATTTTAAACCGGTTTGAATCCGGGTGCTATAATTCAACCGATTGATTAAACTTGCATTTATCTTTAAGTTTATCATATGAAAAGGATTCTCTAATAAAAACAAAAATAGTAACAATAGATAAATGATTTGTACAAATAATAGTATTGAATGGTTAAATTAAAATTCGGTTTAAATCCGGCTGCTATAATTTCAATCGGATTTTCAAATAAAAAACGGTTATTTAAATACAAGTGCGACGAAATTATTATTCTTGTTCTTTATTTTCAAACCTATTTTTAAAAAAAAAAAGTATTTGTAATGTCAGAAGAAATAATTACAGAGATTAAAGAATTTTTTTCAAACATAGAAACCCTAATTAAAAATCATTTTGATGATGATAATATTCAAAACCAATCCGATATCCAACAAGAGTTTAAAAATGGAAAAAGGTTAATTGACAAACTAAAAGATGATCAGAAGCAACACGGGTCTTTTAGATTCCAATATCACATCATTTATGCTAGCTATTTGAAAACTATTGGTGAAGTAGATGATGCTCAAGATCAAGAAGTGTTGTCAAAAAAATTCGAAGTATTCAAGAACTCTCCTAAGAAAGAAGATACCTATAAAAAAGAATCAATGCTATTGATAGAACCTACATTAGAAAACCTCGATCAATCACTTGAACCTGAAAATAATATACAAGGGGATGTAGAAAAACAACTAAACAAGCTTAGAAGCCTTTTAAGAGAGGGGCCTATTGAAGATATCAAACAGACTTTTAAAGTATTTAACATCATCCCAAGAACCTTTGAAGACTATAAATCTATTGTTACTTGCAATGCTATTGTATGTAAATTAATAGATAATTTAATTAATGAAGGACTAATTGGTCTGGAAAAGCTTCAAGATTCAACAAATACAGAAAATAAGGAGCAGATAATTCGTGCTTTAAAACCTTTAAAATTATTTGCTAATAAAGCAGCCTATGAAAAAAGAATAAATTTTATTCAGAACGTTTTAAATTCTTCTAATAAAAAAGGAATTCTATTTGACAATGTGTTCACAGAAGAAAGAATTAATAAACAGTATAAAGAACTTGCTTTGTATTTCCATCCTGATAAAACTAATCGTCCAAACAGCCCAAATTATTTACGATATGAACATAAAAATCTAAGTGGTGAGATCTTTAGAGATATTCAAGAGATTAAAGAGAGCTTATTGATTGATCTGGAAGATACCACAAAAAATGAAAATGTGCTATCTTCTCACGAAACAATGGCAAATAAACTTTGGAGTATTGCAATTGATTATCGTAATGCATCTAAAGCACAATGGAGTAAATTAAAATTGTTAAAGAAGGATGATATCAAAGACATTTCTTCCGAAAGACTAATAAAATTGAGTGAGGATAATGGAAGATTGGCCTATGAGAGATATCGATCTGCTTGCAAGGTTGCAGATAGAACTAAACAGCTAAGGAAACAAGTAAAATTACGAAGTAATATGGCATTATGTTTATACATCTCTAATTGTTGCCTAGAAGCACAATTATATGCTTTATCAGCAATTAATTTAATAATTCGGAATTCTCAGGATGTCACACAACAAGATCTGTTCGATGCAAAAGGAGTATTTGATAAAGTTAAAGGTGGCGGAGCTACTAAAAATAACTCTACATTAAACAATGATAATAATATCGAAAAGGCATTGGCTTTAACCAGAAAGGCAGACCATGGAATTTCATACTCCCAAAAAACTGCGACTAAGCAATCAATTAATGAGGATCTAGAGGTAATATGCACTGAATTAATGATCCATGCAGAACGTAGTTTGGGACAACCGCGAGCATATGGTGAAAAAATTTTGCATGCAGAAGAGCGTTCTTTGCAATATAAAGCAAAAGGAGGGACAGCTATAGTGGGCGGAATAGGCATAGGAGGATCAGTAGCAGCAAATGCTGGCTTAAATATTTATGCAGCAATTGCAATTGGAGCTGGAGTTAGTAATCCACTTTTATTGATTGGAGAATTAGCAATTGGTATAGCAACTCTCGGTTTAGGGATATGGGGCGGTGTAACATTATGGCAGGAAGGTGTTATTATTTTAGAAGAGCCGACTATTCGTGAAAATCTCAATAAGATTATGATAAAGGCACTAAAGGCTTTTGATGAGGGAGATCACCAAAAATTCCTTGATACTCTTGCGGAGGAATTTACGACAGGCATCTGTCTTTTAAAATTAAAAGATCGTAGTGATATTATTGACACTAAAAAAATGGTGTATATACTTGTAAAACATGGCTTCAGATCAGATGGTATAGCTTATCTATTTAATTTGATTGGAGAGGTTTTAAGTAGTGGGAAAGTAAAAATTGAAGGAAAAACAAAAATGGAGTTAAAGGAACTTGCAAAAGATGTTTTATTAGGGGCGCTTAATAAGGAACTTGAAGTTTATGCCAAAAGACTTGATGACCGCATTTGTGAATTACGGGTAAATGGAATTATGGCTCAATTTACGAACTTTTTTGATATTAGTGAGTTTAATGGCATAGCAAATGAAGCAAGTAAACACCTTGAGGATGCTGAAGAAATGCCCTTTAAATCAAGGCTGGATGAAATGCGTAATATCGCAAAGATTAACCTTGCAATTATTGATATGCTTGCTGGATCAGAAGAAATTAGTCGAGCTAGAACAACTGTTGAGGAAGTTCGAAATTCAATGAATGCTAATTATCAATTTGTTGGTACTGTAGAAACACGTCTTGAAGTTTTGGAAGATTTTTTGTGGGTTATAAGTGGTGAGGAATTGCCTGATACAAATGAATTACCTCTAATCACTTACACACTAGAACCAGTTCAAGACATGGATAACAATAAATATCTCTGCTATCTAAATGAAAAATTACAGAATGTATCCTTGGATAAAGATAAAAAGGATCTTTATATTGAAATTGCAGCATGTCATGAGAAGTTAGCTGAAGAAGAGGATAAAATTAACCAGTTACGCAGCCTATGTAATTGGCAAAAGGCTCAAAAGAATTATGAGAAAGTACGTGAAATAAATAGCACAGACATAGCTGCTACTCTTGGTTTTGCAAGATGTTTATTAAAATTATCCAAATATAAACGGGTTATTGAACTTTTAAAAAGTACACATTTAGATCTGAAATTAGAGTACGATTACTGGTGCCTTTGCAGCATTGCTTATTTTAAGCAAAATGATTACAAAAAAGCAAATGAATGTATTTTGGAAGCACTGAGAATAATTCCCCAAAACAAATTGGCCATGAGGCAGAAAAAGCTCGTTGAAAGGCTAAGGAAAGAAAATACATTAAAAAATCGTATTGATCATTATCAAAGAGAAAAAAAAGCCATAAAATCCGAAGAAGATTATCTAATAAATTCTCGTAACAATAGTCATGTTTATAGAATCCTTTCCATTGATGGAGGTGGCATACGTGGAATACTACCTGCTTTATGGCTCAGTGAACTAGAATATCGTGCCCATAGACCCATTTCTCATCTATTTAACATGATATCTGGAACATCCACAGGTGGGATCATTGCCGCTGGACTATCAGCACCATCCTGGCATGAATTGACAGAATCATCTGGATACAAATATTCAGAGTTTGAACCATTATTCTCAGCTTCATCTTTGTTAGATTTTTATCAGAATAATGCAAAAAATTTATTCGCCTCAAATAATTCACTTATGGATTACTTCAAACTAAATACAACAACAAAATACAACTATAGAGGTCGTCTTTCAATGTTTAAGAAGGATTTTGGTCATGCTCACTTAGATTGTGCACTTACTCAATTGGTTATCCCTGCAGCAAGAAAAGAAGGTAACCTTACTCACTCGCATTTATTTACACATTTCGATGCACTTAAGGATGAGTCAAGAAATGATACTTTTGTTAATGCTTTAATGGCAACAACAGCTGCACCATATTTTTTTCCACCCCACAACATAAATGATAAGGGTGTTTTTCTAGATGGCGGATTACATCTTAATAATCCAGCAATGGAAGCTTACAATGAAGCTATTCGATACAATGTTGCTAGGGAAAAGATTTTCATGCTTTCAATGGGTACAGGGAGCTATATACCGGATCCTTTCAATCCAGATCTATACCATGGTCAACTCTTTTGGGAACAGAATCTCCATAATGCAATGCCCCCTACACAAGAAGACAACACTAATCAACAATTGTATACTATTTTGGGAAATAAATATCAGCGATGGCAAGTTTGGTTTGAAGAACCATTGAAATTTGATGATATCAACAATATTCCTACCCTTTTAGAAATAGGCAATCAGCACATAGAAGAACTTGATGCTTCGGATGAGAATCCCTTGAACAAACTGGTAGAGTCTTTTGAGGAGTATGAATCTAATGATTCAAAGATGACAACTAGAGAAAAAATCTAATAAATTGTTATTATTATTATTATCTTAATAAAATTATTTTCTGACAACATAAATAATTTAAAATTAATAATTACAAGTGTGTACCGAAAAGTTTTGCTTAAGGTTCAATATGATATTTACTTTAAGTATATCCCATAATTCAAATCATTTATGCTAGATTGTTTAGATTGCCACCAATTAAATTGTAATTTACTGGTATAAAGCCTAGAACATAAAGATAATTTATTATTTATTGTCTTCATGGGGCTTTTTAATAGAAAAGGACCATAGTGTAAAAAAGCAATTTTGAGTTAATGTCAATTATTATATAGATCTCTTTAAATATTTTTTGGATTAGAAATCAATAATTGTATAGTTATCTGCAAAAAATATCCACAAAATTATAAATATTCTAATTCGCAAAACGATTTTCAGAAAAGATATCTGAATTAGAAGTTCATGAATCAATTCATATATATTGTTTAATGTATAGCTTGCCTAATATTAATATAATGTTTCTGAATTAATATATAATAAATATATATCATTAACTGACAAAATGAACAGAAAGATTTGACAGGTTTATTTTGGTAAGTTATGTTCATAACTAAGAAATCATTAGTTTTAACCATTTCACATTTTTCTTAACGGTGGCATTAATCATTCAATTTGTAACATTATTAATTAATACTTGTTAATATTAATGATATTCATTTACAGTCGAATAAAACTTCATTATTTAAATGCCAACAATACAATTTCTTCCAATTTATTTATACTAAATCGTAACAACAATTTCCACGAATGTATATTTATGTTTTACTCTCAACACTATCATTAAACAATCTTCTTTAGATTATGCATTATATATCCTGAACATGTTTCTTGGTGGGTGCCATTCTAGCCATTCTCCTCTTTCCTACCAAGTTGGGCAAGTCCCCAAACTTCAATAAATAAAATTTATTAAATATTACCCCACTAAAAGAAAAGAAAAGAAATAAAAATAATAAAAATAATAGAGACAAATATAAAATAAGAGAAAATAATTATGCACAGGATTTGTATGAATTGTTAGAGATAGATTTATTATGGGTCTGGGACACTTTACCGACAACACACGGAGTTACATTTAATTTCTACACAAAATAACAAAATGCTAAAATATCACGTCGCGTGTTGTCGGTAAAGTGTCTTGTTGGTAAAGTGGGTGTCGGTAAAGTGTCCGGGTCCGATTTATTATCATTACGAAAATACAATGTTAGTAGACAACAAGAACAAGTACAAGTACAAGAACAAGGTTAAGGACAGTGTGATTTATTAAATGATGATTATTATGATTGATTAATTAATTGATTATATAGATGGTACATGTAGTTGAGACAATTACGATACTATTTATACATGTTAAAGGTTCTATCATCTAGTTCTCCGATTCTTTGAAATCCTAATTAAATTTATTACTTGAACCTTCTGTGTGTGCAGTATATTTGTGTTTTAGATAAGCATCGCGATGGTATAAAACAGATGATAAATTTATCAGAGAAAAAATAGATGGAATATTAGTAAGATTTGTTCTTCATCAAAGCAATTTTATTAAAGGCTACTTTAGATTAATTTCTAATTATCTCATATTTTATAAATTAAATTTACAGTATCCTAATGAAAATGATTCTGATATTGGATAGGAACCACAAAGTTCAAGTATAATGAATAATTGAATAATTCATAATTGTACTATATTAATAATAATGTATATTGCTTGCGCACATTAATTAATGATACTATTTATTGATAATAAAGTACATCTTTGATAAAATACAATTCTAACATGTATATATTTGTTAAATTATGATGTGATTCTTGCATACAAGTAAATTTTTTTAATTTTAATATATACATTATACATATTTTTTTTTCATTTTTATTACGTATATGTAAACTTTATTGTTACTAAGGGTATGTAAAATAGATGTGAAAATATTACGTCAAATTAATGATAATTTACCCTTAAAAAATTTGCTTATAATGAGTACAAATACAACCCTTTTCTTCACACTCATTACATGAAGGCTCTTTAGTGATGCATCCGTTGTAAGGACCTTTTGCAGAAGTTATTCCATTCTCATTTTGTGTATCCATGGCAATCGCTCACTGATTATTGTTTGATGTTTATCTTCTTGTTTGTTTTTTAATTAGATAATTTGAAGTTTAATTAATCAGTCGATTGGTTCAATTGGTTATTATTTGAAAGTTTATTTTTAATTAATAAAAAGCATTAATTATTACGGGAATTTATGATAGATTTTTTAAAATATTAATACTAAATCTAATGGTGAATTATTTCTTCTAGGTAGGGAGGGTTTCTATTTTTATATCAAATCGGGTTGCCCAAAAGGAATGCGTGTTTGCCTTTTTTAACCTCATTAAATATTCCATATTAATATAAATATATATCATAAATGAAAAGTCATTTACAAAAAATGAAAAATATTGATATGAAAAATTATTTTTTAGGTGTGGGAAAATAAATTTATTACAATAAATGAAAGTTATTTTTTAGCGGAAAACAAATTAATTACCTGAATATGAAAAATATTAATAATATATATCAATAAATGAAAGTCATTTTTTAGATGCGGAAAATAAATTTTTTAGCAAAAATTTTCTGAATATGAAAAAATATTAATATGTATCAATAAATGAAAAGTCATTTTTTAGCAAAAATTTTCCTGAATAACAATAAATGAAAATTCATTTTTTAGATGTGGAAAAATAAAATTATTTTGAGAAAAAATTTCCTTCCATGTTAATATCAATAAATGAAAATTGATTATAGAATAATCTACATAATTGGTTCCAATTCATTCTGTTGTTAAACATCTTCCCAAGACTTCAAAGAGAGCTAAGTTTTGTTAGAAACATTGCCCTTTCTTGTAACTTTATACAAAAATTCTTATATGGAACATACTGCAACAAAACCAGACGAAGTGAACGCTACATATATATAAAAGTGTAATAAATTGATGCATCAAAAACGTATCAACATTTGATGACACTCACAATCCTGCCCTGTGTTTGAACATCACCAATTCACGCATTTTCAAGTAAAAAAAAATCCAACTACAAATCCTTAAATAATCATTTTTAAACACTATTATATTTTATTTTACAAAAATCATACAATAAAGATATTTGTAATATTTTCATATAACAATTCAATAAAAAATGCATACTTTTAACAGTGAACTTTTTTGTGGGTTGTTAATTGAGATCTTTCTTGGTCTCTTGTTTCATACAAATTTACAAAAACTAATTCTATGATATGAATCAAAAATTCGATGAAATAATCAATAAATATAGCCCTCCAAAAAACATAAACTAAGCATGTTAATTGGTGAACAAAAATACCTGGTTTTTCCTTTAGCTATGAGAATAACCGTAGTTTAAATATTTGTGTCTTGAAGTATCCGTAATTTTCAATAATTAAATGTAGTATATTAAATTGTTTCCCAAATTGTCTAGGTGCAATTTTTCTATCTTCAGCTTCCACCTTTGGCACTTATAACCCAACATTGAATGACACGAAATTACTGAGTAAAAATTAAATTTTAATACGTGACTCGAATTTGCCTATCATCGTTAAATATTTTGGTTAAGGATACCGGCTACAACTTCTGATGATGGTTGCTACCATCTTTGCGTTATGTAAAAATGATTGCAAAACCGTCTTTAAGACCATTTTGTTTCCTTTTTTTGGATTGCGACATGAAGCACTACTGCCTTTTTAAAAAAAGCTCTATTAGTTGATAGAATAGGTCTTTACTTTTTAATATAGTAGAGAAATTTTCTCAAAAAAAATCATTAGTCCTATTCTTTTTTAAAACATGTACTTTACTATTACTATTGCTATGCTCGTGAGGAATTTTGAGCGCTAGGATCATTGCTAAATTTTTAAATTTAGACTAATACTCAACAATCATATCTAAATTTAGCAGGAAGGAAAATAATTTTTTAACCAAATCACGTGAAGACCTTTTTTGAAAAGTTATTGCATTTTTGAACAAATCACTAAATCGCAATTTTTGAACTTTGAGCGCGTGGCACAGCAATAGAAGGTCTTTAGACCGAACTAACCATATAATTGAAATTTTTCTACAATTGAAAAATAAAAAACTAATTGATAAAAAATTGAATTCAGTTTCAATTTATGATGAAAATTTTAATAGAACAATTAGAAATTCAAGACATGCAAATCACTTACTAGATGAATTAATAAGTAAAAAAAATAATAATAGAAATAGTTACATTGCAAAAATCTGGTGCTGGATTTTGGATAACAAATTCTAAACTAATAGATGTTACTAAAGGCGCTGAAGAATTAGTCTATTCTTATTCCTGGGACTATTATTTGTAAAATGGCAGGTTATTTAGATAAAAATATAATTATATATATATATACACGTTTGACCCTTTTTTTTTTTTAATAAAAGCTTATAATTTCATAATTTTATTAAATAAAATAATTCAAAATATGAGCTATTCCTCAAAAAAAAAAAAAAACTCAATTTAACAATTTTATATATTGATGAGGTTATCTATTAAAACTAAATGAGAATCATTAAAATTAGAATTTGTGTTGTTTTGTTTTTCAGATTGATACATGTTATATTTTTTTTTACACGACACATCAAATATTATTTATATATATGATTTCCCTACCTTTAAATATCTCTAACTCGTGTAGCAGACCGTTTTTTAAAAATATCACATTATAATTAAAGCTTTCTAATGGATACCTTTTTATATTGAAAGGTCTTCGGTTTAAATTGTTTATTATGGTTTTTTATAATTTCCACTGTGTCACCTGATGGAGAATAAACTTAATATTAAATGCACAAGACATTTTGATTAAAAATTAATTTTTTGCAACAAAAAAAAAACAAACCAAAACAAAAGCAAAGAAAAAAATGTCAGTATTTATAAGTTCTCGAATGTGCACGATTTCTTAATTTTTCATAAATTTATAATCATTCAACCCAAATCCAGTAAATAACAACTTCTTTTTAAATCCTTCCAATTTATTCCAAATACACACATTAGATAATGAATTAGATAAATCATAGATAAGGAACAACAGAAACCCACGGAATAAAACAAAATGTGAATGATTGATTATCCACGCCAGTTAATAATAAAAATACGACAGGCCAAAAATAATTTTTTTACCATTGATGTTAATTAGACAAATATTGATCGACAAAAAAAAAGGCAGAAAACGATCAAAATATCAACAAATGAAAAGTCTTTTTTTTGAATATTAATATAATATCAATAAATGAAAAGTCTTGTTTTTGAATATTAATATAATATCAATAAATGAAAAGTCTTTTTTTTGATGCGGAAAATAAATTCATTACCTGAATATGAAAAATATTAATATATCAATAAATGAAAAGTTATTTTTTAGATGCGGAAAATAAATTTATTACAAAAATTTTTCTGAATATGAAAAATTTTTCATCAATTTAATTGTATGTTTTCAGAAGGTAATGATATTTTTAAACTATGTAAAAACTTACTAACCTAATTTTAGGCTTGCCTTTGAGAAATCAGAGTATGACTCGTCATAAACAAGAAATAAAGTAGGATTAGACAAAGTTTTTTGTTGATAATTGATGGTATTAAATAATTTACATGCCACAGTCCATTAGAATTATTTGAATTTTCACTAGTAGGTGGTTGGGCACTAAAAGAAGTCCAAAATATGGGAAGAAGGGTGGTGGTAGACTTATACCAAAAAGAATAATTTGTGTTTTTTAGCAGGAAATGTTGACAATAGTTATTGAATGAGTTGTCAAAGAAATGTAGAAGGAAGAATGATTGAAAGTTCAGATTTACCAAGATCATAAACCACAATAATTGATGACTAGATACTCAGCACAGTTATGTGAGAAAAAACACTTTGAGTTGAAGATTGAAAAAAAGGCTTATAAATTTATTCTATTGTTTGAAAAATTATATATATTTACCTTCAAGTTTAAATAAAAGAATGCTTTTAAAAAGACATAACGTTAATCCTAATTGTGTGATTATTGAAGCACCTGCTTTATGTAGAGTTTTGCGGTGGTTATGTTTCATTCTTCTATTCCAAATGTCATTAAATAGAATAAATAGGTTGTAGGTTAATTTTCTATTATTAATAAAATTACATACCATGAACCAATAGAATTACAATTCCCACATATCTAATGGAAGTCGTTTAAGAAGAAAATTGTTACTGAGAAGAGTTTACGAACTCAATGGAAATCTAATCTATCAGACAAAAGAGTAGAACTTTAAAAAAAATTATTTTAATTCTATATATTAAATTTCTAAAATTTCGAGTTTATATAGTATAAAAGTAAAGATAGTTTATTATTATGATAATACGAAAGTTTTTTTGAATATCGATTGAGGTTTACAAGTGTATTAATCCATATAAAGGAGGATTAAGGTTTGGTAATTAATCTATTACTATTACTATTAATGCAATATGAATCATCATGTGGACGAAAATCCGTGTAACTCCCTTGAATAAATGTCAGACGCGTCATAATATTGTTTACACGACTCAATATTTAATACTCCTTTCAGACAAAGCATCAAATTTTAACTTGGTTCGAATGATTTCATTTTTATGAATATAGTTGGTAAGGATTGTCTTTATTGAAAGAAAATAGTTAATTTTTATATATATATAAAAAAATAGTTGTAATAACAATGTTTTGTAATTTTTTTTTGTAAGTGTTTCTATTTCAGAATACTTCAAAAATACCACGTCCACAAATAGAAATTATGGAACCTCTCATTATGGGAGAAAATAAAAATACAGATGAACTATCCTCAATATGGCGTAAAGATTTATAAATTCACTTAAAATCATGATTAATGATGCGGAAACGGACCAGATAGCTCGGCATATTGCAACATTACTTGTAAATAATGTATAGTATAATCTTGTCTTTTTTTCCTTTCCTTTTCCTTTTTTTTATTTTTAGTATATGTGCAGCTCAGGGGGGTGCCGTTCCTCGTGCAAATAAATACTAAAAATCTCTAAAAAAATTATCAAAATAACGTGATGTGAAATAACTATACTCTTTTCATTCATTTGTTCAAGAAACAATCTAGCACTACCACAAAGTTTTGGAAGCAATTGAAGATTGATAAAAGTTATGAAAGTGCCCGGGAGAGACTTCAGAATAAAAAGGTTTGTGGTCATTTTGAAACAGTTGTTTTTTGCAACTTGACTAGAGATGTGCCTTCATAGTAACCATGATTTTTTTTGCGCATAGTGCGCATAGTGTATATATATCATAGGGAGGGAAATATCATAAATGCACATATAATAATAAGAAAGTAAATGGCATATTTAATTTTTTTTAGAAATGTTTATTAATAAGTAAATGTCTATAAAAATATATCTAAAACCTTATGCGTAACACACTATGCATAACATACTACGCGTGACACTTCTCTAAACTTGATACATTTAAAAGCCTTCTGCGTTACAGTCTATATTCAAGGTAAATTCTCAAGTTGATGCACTACATATTTTGAAGGTTTTTAGAGCACATCAAACCATTCAAGTTTCTAGTGAATTCAACCTTGAAAACTCTGGTTCAGACATTCAAGTAATTGGTTACATATTTTCTATATCATATACTACTACGATAGCTGTAGTATTTAAACAAATAAGACCATTGTATTTGCGTCAAAAACTTCTTATAAACGAAAACGACAAGAAAAGAACAAACGATTCGTTAATAAAAGAAACAGAAGTAAAACGAGTTCGTTGTAAGAAGGATGAAGTAAGAACTTTGATTTAATTTGTTATTATTATTATTACATTTATATTTTTTATTTATTTTTAACTTCTTATTTGCACTATATTATTTTGACAAGGATTTCAACCCATTTTATGATGTTGATAAATCTCCATCTCCTACAGGACCTCTCATAATCACATCAAATAAACCAATAATTTCTCAGACAATGTATAATCAGTATCGTGCGCACATAATTTGTGCGTTCAACACTATACTTCAGGGTTGGCGAATTGACTGGTCCATTGAGAACAGATGGATTTTGGGCTGGTCCATTGCCATTAATAAAAATACATGGTTAAAGTGTTACACTAATGGACTCAATGGACCACCAATAGACCATCGATGGACCGCGCATTTGCCAACCCTGCTACATTTACACATCTCAAAAAATCTTTTGACAACAACACATATGAAAATATCAAAAATATCATTAATCGTGGGAACAAATTAATAATCAAGGATCACATAGTTGGTAAACTTAATGAAATATTTGGATGTGACTATCCTAAAGTTGAAAATACTATAATTACTGCGACAACAATTGTAGATGATCAATCGGACGATTCAAAATTCATTTATTTTATCAGACATTCTCTTTTAGATTTTATAGCTAACTTTAAATATACAACACCAAGGGCATTAGATAGGTCAATGTATGAAAGATCATATATTGTAGAATGTCTATCCCCAATATTTCATTCTTTTCGGAATTCATACCCAGAAATAAAATATCACTGGATAGAAAAGATTGATAGAGTCAATTAATGGAACAAATGAAATGTTTATGTCCAATGTAAGACAGGCATATCAGTTGTTAGAATTTCTGACGAAAGAGAGATACTAAATGTAGAGGTCTTAGGACCACCATTTAGAAGCACTAAAGACCACACTGTTGGAGATGTTAAAAAGTTATTGATTATGGCCGTCTGTAGTTTATGTTATTCCCTTGGCGACTATTTAGATTGTAGCGTTGAGGATGCCAAAAAAGTTAAATCAAGTAATTGGTAATAGACTTACATTATTTGCAATTTCCTTATTTGATAAAAAGAAATACTTGGCAGTAGAACTTTCATCATCATGTATCAGGGTTGGCAAATGTATGGTCCATTGGTGGTCTATTGGTGACATTTTAGCCATATTTAGTAATTTATTAATGGCAATGGACCAGTCCAAAGTCCATCAGCTCTCAATGGGCCAGTCAATTTGCCAATCCTGTCGTGTATAATTCCATTTTCATATGATTCAATATCATGTTATATGAAAATTTTTAATTATTTCGCAATTATAAGAGAAGAATTTCTAGAACAAGAAAAGTGCACAAAAAAATTTGTTCTTTCCATTCTACTGATAACAACACAGAAAATTTACGTGTATGGCTTCATGCACCAGATGTTAAATTATTTCCGTCAAAAGAAGATATTGATGATACAATATTTTTTATAAATTAGATTTTTTTAATTAATAAATGTGAAAAAATTTTTATTTGCCATAAAAAATATTAAGCCAACAATATTACCCATTTGTAAGAGATGAATTTAACGATGTCGCTTATCTAAAACTGCTGACAATTAATCCAAGTCACCTTGTCCCATGCCTTTCTGCAAAAATATCAACTCGATCAAATAAAAATTTGTTGCAGTATAGTTATTGGCTTTGCCTTTTCTTATTTTGATTATTGATGGTAGATCAATCTAAAATTATCTTTATGGAACTAACTAGTTGACCAATTTCTTGAGGAATAAGAAAACAAATGTTAGTAATTCGTATTAATAAAATTATTTTAAAGAATGAATGAATGAAATGAAACAAACCAACAGTTTTTATTTTTGCTTCTATTTTTAATAAATTATTTACAGGCATTTTGAATAAACTTTTTTTCCTAATATTAAGAGAAAAAACGCGTAAACAAAAAATTAATTCACGTGACAGAGGGATCTCGCTACGGCAGTTTATAATTTAAAAATTTTTGCTTCGCATACATGACGAGATTAATAATTCGGAATAACGAATTTTAAATGAAATCTTTTATGTCTATCCACTATGACAAGGTTAAATTTGTTTACCCCAAAACTTTTGTGCTATGCAATTTTTATAAATGAATAGACTTATTTTGATCTTGATTTTTAGTTGCACAGAACTTTAATTTGGAGCAATAATGAAGCAAATTGTCGGGAAAAAATTTCATATTTCATTTCTCTCTTTTCGTTTTAAATAAAATGGAATCAAATACAATATTCGTTTTAAATAAAATGGAATCAAATACAATACTCGTTTTAAATAAAATGGAATCAAATACAATACTCGTTTTAAATAAAATGGAATCAATTATAATGTTCGTTTTAAATAAAATGAAACCAATTATAATGTTCGTTTTAAATATGATGGAACCAATTATAATGTTCGTTTTAAATAAAACGGAACTAATTAAAAAAATACTAACAATTCCTCGTTGCAAACGGATTATCATTGGAGTATTTACAGCATTATTAGTAGCTCTTTTTGTTATACTCGCAACGGGAGTACTAAATGATTTGCCAACTATTACTACTGGTAAAAAAATAGATTTGACCTTTATTTAATTAGCGCATAAATATTTACTGGATGTTTAACTTAAGCTAAATTTGATTTTTTTTTTTTTTTGCTTGTATACAATAGAGCATTCTCCAATAGCGGAATTTCCTTCACCGGGTGAATTTAATTGATTGGTTAATATATAAACCATAAAGTTGACACTTTTTAAACTAATGTTATTATTTTATAGTAATTTCGTTCCAGTTTCGAAAACCCTTCACGATTCAGTGCAGTTTTCTACTGTACGAATCATTAGAATCACTTGGTAAAATCACATGTATTGTTAACTATATTTTGTGTTACATCATCATATATATTAATTCGCTTTTTATTATTCATTTCTAGAGAAGAATACCGGCTCTATTTGTTCAGAACATATCATTCAACCAACACCTCTTGGTCCATTTTGGACCGGTAAATTTTCACCAAAAAACTTAACCTTTCCTAATACTCAACCGACGAATCGGTTAAAACGGATTCTTTTTAGATTAGAGATTGATGGCGATGGTATTATGGATGGGGACCTTCCTGCCTTTACAATTAATATATTTGACTCAGGTATAAATTATTACATTAAATTTTGATTGGATTGATTGATTGGTTGATTGATGATTCTTTTTTTTTTAAAATAGGCGATGAAAAAAGTGCAGAGGCAATGTATGCCGAGGCAGTTAAGGATACCTATTTCGATAACTCATCAGACACATCATCTCTTATTACGTCGATTTTCCGAGCAAATAGATATTTTATAGGAAAGGCCAATGTAAATAATAATGATCGATAATGGTGTGTGTAATAATAAAATTGTTTATAATGAATGATATATTTTTAGAACTATCACATTCGGATGACCAGGAGGGTCACAAATAGAATAACACCATCATTCAAAGATAATTTCGGGTTTCAACCAAACCGTGACACACAATCTTATATCACAACAATCATCTGTAAGTTAAATAATTTTTTTTTGTTTAAATATATTATCATAAATGATTCTATATAAATAATAAATTGTCTAGACCCCACGTCAAGGAATTCTTCATTCTTTGCACCGGGAGTGGCAGGGTTTATGATTGACCCTCATAACTTTGTGCTTGAAACGCAGACAGAACAAAGGCAAGTAAATAAAATTAATGAATGATTGAATTACACATGTGCTGAAATTTTTTGTTGAAATGTGAATATCTTTTCCAAATTTCCTTTATAGCAAAGATATTTATGTTCCAAAAATTTCAACAAATTATTTCAGCATATGAATTGAAATAATTATATTAATTACTGATAATGACTTATTTTTTGATCGTAATACAGAAATAAGGACGTAAGTATATTTATTAATTAATAACAATGATGACAATGTTATTGCCATTGTCATTATTATTGATAAATTATTTTAATTTTTATACTAGTTTCTGTCTGTCATTTCAAACGTATTGGCTGTGGAGGGTGCATTCTTTACACTCTATACATTTTTATTTGGTAATTAGATGCCAATATGTCATTATTGCATAATACATAATACATATTATTCACATTTGCAATGATCTTTATTATTGTTTCAGGTGTTGGTCGAATAAAACCATTGGGCGTCATGCACTTAAAGAATTCTAAAACACATGATGGATATAAAAACACATCAATTCCACCATCTTTATTTTTAAAAATTGATGAAGGTAATAGAACGTTAACAACAGAAGAACGACTTGATCGTCTGACAGCGCTTATTGTAAAACATGTTATTGAGATATCAGAATTAGACGAAAAATTGAAGAATAACAGTGATGCTAACCGGTCAACAACACCAGAGAATAATGTTTGATTTCTAAAACCAAGAGTTTCGTAACTGTTCGAAAGTCAAAAGTTTCGCCACAAGTCGAAACTAGTTTTGACATATGACTTTTAATTTTAGTTTTATCTTTGCCTCTTCAAAATAGCTTTGACAACCAACACTAATGGAGAAGTAAGTTAATATTAACAAGGCGAAAAAATTTTTTAACAATAGAAATTATACAAACTTCCGAATTAGGAATTGATTCTATTTTATATATGTTATATATGCACATACTTGTATTATATTTTTGTAAATTAAAGAAAAAATTAATTATATAACAACTCTTTGTATAGTAAATTCCCTTCCATGTATATACATTTTTATTTTCCAAGAAATTCTTCCTTAAAAAATGATTGTTGGGTATTACCCTGGTTAGAAATTGATTATTATTATATTGATATCAGGGTAAAAAAACACCAATTTTAAAAGGCTCAAATTTTGATTATTTTCAAAATATACGTGATGACATTTTCTTTAAAAATTGTTGTAATAAAAAATAGCCATTGCAACCTTTTTTGAGAAAAAATCTAAGCTAAGACGATAATAAACAGAATACTCGTTACAATGGCTTAATACAATTCCTGCTGAGCTTGTGAACATGGCCACATGGCGAACAGAATTTGATCATATCACATGGTTATGAAAACCATCTGCAAAAAACTTAAATGATGTAGAGGAAAGAAACTGGGAAGGGTAAAAAGATTGATATTAGTAAACTTTGTTGTAGGACCTCCTGAAAAACTTTTAAATTACGTGCCATAAAAAGTCAATATTCTAGAGCAACTGGAAATTCTGCTGCGGCAGCAACATTATCACAGTGATGTCAGCCAGTTGATGGATATAACTTAATTAGATAAATAAGATCATAAAAAAATTTCTCTCGACAGAGTCCAGTGTAATACATACGTAGGTATTGCTTAGCCGGAGGTAATTTTAGTCATGGATAGAAAGTGAATTTGCTTAGTATATATTAGAATCAGGCAAAATATTCAATGACCTCACATGTTTAGTTTGCAAATCCTAAGTTCGGTATTATATAGAGATAAGATAAATTATCATTTTTACTATGTCTTCGTGGAGATGTTGTAAAGAGTGACTTTTAAAAACCCCATATTATCCATGCTAAGAAGGTTTTTTGCATTTGTGGTAAAACCATTAAGCTTAATAGATGCTGGGATGAAGATTACTTAAATTCTTATGCAAAGAACAATTTTCAATTTTCACAACCTGCTCAAACTGAAAATACAAAAAGTTCAGAAGAAGAACTTGATTCTGATGTAGTGATGTTAGCCGATAGAAAAACATTAGCCGGCAAAACCGAACAACTCTTAGCCAGCTAAGAATTTAATGAATTTTGGTTGACAAAAAAACCTTTTCAGATGGTACTAAGCTTGCCGGTGTTATTATTACTACTATCTTTATTATTATTACTATTATTTACTATTGTTATTATAATATCGCCTTTAATGGTTCAAATTATTTGTTTTATTTGTTATGAATTTGAATATTTGAATTACATTGAAAGTTTTATTTAAATAAAACTAATAAAACAAACAATAATAATTCAAATTGAACGAATAATTTGAATTAAAATAAGAATTTGTATTATGAATAGAACCTCTAAGACTTTTATCCTGCTATGATGTATTGTATTTTGCTTTTTGAGTTTTTTTTTGTCATACCAAGTGATGCAAGTGGATCCATCTCAACTAAATGTTTATGCCATTGAATTCTGCACTAAAATTCCAGACATAACAATGAATGACAAGAAAAAATTTTTTAGCCAACTAGCTGATAAATTTCTTGGCTGATTAACATCACTATTCTGATGTATATGATTGTATGTATGATGATGACTTACTCCAAGTAGATGAAATAAACGATGATACTTATTTTAATCAAAAGTTTTAATTGATGGTAATATTCTCAAACTGTTAGGAGATGAAAAGGGTATTATAATGAATATTTTTGTCGGGATGATATTAGTGAAAAAATAATGAGTCTTAGTTGATGCAGTACTTGATAATAAAGAAAATGATTATATTCATGGGTAAATTTTGAAGTAATGTTTGGAGTTTGCTTATTCATATTGGTAAAAACCTCGTTTAGAGCTATTATAAAGTTTTTGAATGTACTTGTTACCTCCATATGTATTGCTCTGGGTCATTTATTTCATCGCTTAGAATGACAAAAGGAAAAATCATGCCATTCATCGCTCAAAAAAAAATACAATACTCATAGCAAGATAAAATATAATAATAATAAAGAAAGTAATACTAATAGCGTATTATTAAATAATAATAATGACGTTGAATTAGGAGATATATCATTGAATAATAATAGTAGTAGTAGTAATGTGATAGTATTAATAAATAATAATAATAATAATAATAATAATAATAATAATAATAATAATAATAATAATACCGGCAAGCCAAATACTGTCTAAGAGATTGTTTTCATCAGCTGGGGTTTATTTACAAAGAAAATGAAATAGACTTAGTAAAAATAATAAGTAAATCTGTCTAATAAATTGTTTGATAAAAAAGTTTTTAGTCGGAAAAGTTTTTTTTTATCAGTTGACATCACTAATTATTCGTGATCTTCATTGGAATCATTTTGTTTCAAATGAAAACAAGCAAATTTCATTACTCACAGAACGGTATCTTCGAACAATTTGAGAATTCATTTTAAATACTTAAAATTAGTTTATTTACAAAAAAAAAAAAAAAAAAACGAAAATAAATTGTTGCCTTTAAAAACAACAAAATATTTACTTTTTAATGCAAAATGTTTATTTTAAGCCGCAAAATGGTGTAAAAAAAAATGAAGGATTATATGTCAGATAACCATTAGAGCTAATCAATTGTTTACAACTAAAACTCAAGTTTTTTTGCTCTTATAGAAAAACAAAACGTAGTAGTAGATATAGTACAAGTCACTTAGTCTCGCAATTTTTTATTGGTCGTGTAGATCTTTCAGACCCTCCAAAATGGGATAGGTAACACCAAAAAATAAATTGATCCTTTCCTTCTCTACGATTTCATTTTGTTAATATTGTTAGAAGATTTGAGTCTCAAAGTTGCGCAAGTTTATCAAATTTACTATGTTCAGCTCTAAAATTAACGCATTACACACAGAAAACAAATGAAACTAAAAAATTTGAATTTTTTCCTTATTGAAGATTTTTTATTACGTGAATTTCCCAAATAAATGGAAATAGAATTTATTTATAAAAAAAAAATACAACAAACAGCTAAGTCCATTTGTTTCAATTTTAATAAATAGACTATTGCATTGATCAAAGAAATATGTAAAACATATACTTGTTATCTCCCACCTATAATATTTCATGGAAACACTATTATTATTGCTGATTTTATTATTTATAGGAAATATCACAAACAATTGGGAAATTTTTTCTCAAAATTGGCAGTGCAACACACAAAGTTGTGGGCTAGGTGACTTTTTAATATGAAAAATTCTTACGCAACATAAAAATTAATAACATTAAAAAACAAAGGCTTATTGAATGATAAAATAATAAATTTAATGAAATAATTGTAATAAAAGAATATAAAAGTAAAAAAGAATATAATTTAGATTAACAAAATTTAAAGTAATAAATGAAGCTAGCTATAATAATAAGAGAATCAAAGAGCAAATATAAGATATTTATTTACTGTTTAAAATAAATGAAATCAACAATTAATATTTTTTCAAAAAACAATGATATTCACTGTAGTAATAATACTGATGAAAATACTTACTTGATATTTATTATTAAAATAAAATGAAATCAACTGTAATGTAATGATGATGAAAACACATATATGCTATCTATTGGTTAAAATAAAATGAAATCAACAGTTAATATTTTTCAAAACAATGATATTGATTGTAGTAATAATGATGATGAAAATACTTACCAGCTATTTTATTATTTAAAATAAATGAAAATCAATAGTTAATATTTTTTAAAAACAAGG